AGCTCCCAATTACAAATCGCCAAAATCGAAACAATGAAGATCAATACTAGCATTGACCGTTTAGTTTTTCAATATTGAAAATTTTGGCAACTAATAAACAAAGAGACACAAATCCTTTTTTTCATTCTTCATGTGCTGGTGAGCGTGTACGTTTATGGGTATTAATGCGTTTTCTCTCTCTCTCTCTCTCTCTCTCTCTCTCTCTCTCTCTCTCTCTAATTATAAATTTCTCTATCAATATTGACCATTTAAGCATTAATTATATTGAATAATTACAAATTTCTTCGTCAAATATTTCAGAGGAGAGTTTGTAAGTCGTACTTTTGATTTTCTTTAAAAAAAAAAGTTGACCAATAGCAAAGATTACAGAGGTTGTTATGTTTTTAAGTTTGGACGAGAGAGAAACAGTTCATAAATGGATGACTTTGAATAATATTGCAATTTAGGCCATGTAATTAAACGAAGCATTTATATATGATATAAATATATATGTGTATATAAATATGGTTCTAGAAATACAGTAAGAAAGGGCAACCTCATGACTCAAGCTATACGTTATAATATAATAAATGATAAAATAGAAATATGAAAAGGCAGAATCTAAAAGTAAAAGATATTGAAAATATAACAATTGATTATATAAAAGGAAAAAAAAAAAGAGGTTTGGAGTCTATGTATAGAGACAAGGTTGCAGTCAAACATTCGGAAATAGGAAAAACAAAAGCATTTAATTATAAATTGGGGAATATATATATATATATATATGCAAAGTACAGAGTGGGCATGCATGAAGCAAGCAAGAAAAGCTTTTATATAAATTTACCCGGTGATCCTCATCTTCCAGCAGCTCTCGATCGCTAGCTCTCTCCTCCCAAATTCCTAATTATTCCCATTCTATATATATATATATATATATATTACATACAAAATTTCCCTCTTTCTGATCTTCGTGTAAATAATTAGCATGTGTCTATATGTATATGTGCTATATATGATCATTCAATATAGAGGCAGCACATATAATTAATCCAGCTAATTTACGAAACCTCAAACAGCTAGCTAAATGGGCATGAAACTGATGAAGGTTTTCATGATGCACATGAACATGCGGTGGTGCATGCACATCCAAGATCATCATCTGGATCCTGATGATCATCATGATGAGACGATGATGAATAGCAAAAGCAAAAGCAGAAGCAGAATTAGAAGCAAATCATCATCAAAGAAAATAATAAAGGTGGTGAAGTGGGAAGGAGGGATGAAAACTTACTCGCGGCGTGTAAAAGCGGGGGAGGTGATAATGGAGTCCCCAAAGCACATGGTTTGCCGATCGGACACGCTCTACATTGGACAGAAGATCCCGCCGCTCCCCGAAAACCAAGTCTTGCGGCCTGGCAACACCTACTTCCTCCTCCCTTCCCACTTGTTCCAGTCCGCCCTCTCCTTCGTCACCGTCGCCTCAATACTATCCGCCGCCGCCGCTACTTCCCGTGCTGGCGCAGCCTCCAGCATATCAGATATCAACAGTGTGATTAGTACTAATAACAATATCGATATGATCTTAAAGAAGGAGAAAGAGAGGGAGAAGCAGAAGAAGAAGAAGAAGAAGAGCTTGGAGTCGTGCCAACCCTTTATCATCCAAAAGTCAGCATCCGGGTGTTCCAGAATACGCGTCTCCGATGAGTTCCTAATATCTCAAATTGTTGATGACGGTGACGAAGATGAAGACGAAGACGAGGATGGCCAGTCGTTGGATTGTTGTAATCATAAGAGGAGGTTGTGCACGACGCCTCAATTGCAAAAAGAGTATGTTCAACTGGTGCAATCGCGGACGCAGTGGAAGCCCAACCTCCCCGCCATAACCGAGTCGGCCGCCGCTGCTAGTACTAATTTTAAAACAGCCAGGAGGAGGCCGCCGATCCCCAGGAGAAAGCGTAAAAATATAATTTCTTCTAATTCCTTAATTTTGCCTCATGTTCATAAGGTAGCTCATGTACCGGTTAAATCTTCAAACAACACAAGCAAGGGACAACGGAAGATTAAGCTTTTCAAATCAAGAAAATCTTCATCATCGCACTAGCCCAGTCCATGCTTGCTTAATCAGCAATTTAACTTTGTTTTGCTTCTTGATTTTCTTATTATATGTAGTTAATTTAAATTCTCGTACTTCCATTATCAAGATAAGTACTTTTATGTAACCTATACATATATATGATTAACATGCCCGGCCGGTGGAACGCTCAACAAATCAATATTATTTATACGCGCGTGTAATTAGAATTGAAGCTTAAGTATATTCGCCATATGCTGATCTCCATATATATATATATATATTATTACAGGTCTCGATTTTAAAAATTTTGTCCACTTAATTCATGTTCTCTTGGCATAGCTAGCGTTGATAGTATATAAGAAAAATCGAAGGTCGGAATTCATGAGGGTTGGCCGATGGAGAGAAGAGGAATTGTGTATTTGTATGAGATTGAGAAGTGGACAAAGTAAGGGTCAAATAAGATGGCCTTTAATATTATATTACTGTCGTTGTTATTGGACCACGCCTGCTTGCAACTTGCACTGAAAAGCCTCGAATGAAGCTGAAGTTCTTGTACTTGTACTGGTCAATCACTCAACGCAATTGCCAATTTTGTTTCGTTTGCTCTAGTTTTTCCAACTAACTATTATTTGTCATACAATATTATGAAACAAATAAAATAATATGAATATGTCCCAAAATCTAATCTAAAGTGCGTATCAGCTAGCCAACCGGTCCGCATTCGAATTTTGACCAGGTCCCCCCCTCGCCAATTCTGTTGTTGCTGACTCGCTTTGAAACCATATCCTAAAGTTAAAACAATATTATTTAGTATTATTACTTGTCACATATATATCACACTACATATATCTAGATCATAGTCAATGACAGATGGATCTCCAATTCCAGATACATGTTTCTCAATGGGATTAAAGTGGGGCCTGGCGTTTTCTGAATGAGTATAATTCCATGAGGAATTGAGGATAAGGTTGCACTATATTCAATCAATGCGGTCGTGGAGTTGTGGGGCTTTTAAAGTATTAAGAGAGAGAGAGAGAGAGGTCTGCAGAAGACTTAGAAGTTTGGGATACGAGTGACTGATGGTCGTATGTATGTATGTGTGTGTGATCATGGATTTGCTCGAGAGAGAGAGAGAGAGAGAGAGAGGCTTTTGCCTTAATTGGTCATTTTGGAGGTTACTTACCATCTTTAGGTTCTGGAGTGCATGCTAATATTTAATTTACACCACACAGCATTCCCTTCTAAGCTTCAAATTCTTGGAACTAACTTTCGCGTTGGGAGGAAATTAAGTTAACCAATCCAAAAATAGAGTTAAATGGAGCGTAGACAAAGTTCCACATATAATTTTTTTTTTATGTTGAGTCTGACGTACTGTCCTCTGAATGGTCTATCATATGGCCTTTTTTTTTTTCTTTTTTTTAAGGAAGCTTGAGTTTACTTCCATTCCAGAATCCAGACAGTTCTTCGAAAGACTGGGCTGAGAAATAAGGGAGAACTATTATATATTATCCTTTAGTCTTGGAGTAATCTTCATGGGAAGATCTCAGAGCTGATTGTCTTGGGTTATTTCAATTTGGATCAACAAAAGATTGTCATGGGCCTGTCGGCTTAGGCCTACAGGTACGCATATAGATTTCAGGTCTTCCACGGTAAACGGATCGATTTCCATGGTAATTTGGTTTTTGAAAGAGAAAATTGTTGAACTTATCTTTAGAGATCATGAGTCTTGTGACTAATATAATCATTTGACTAAAAAAAATATTAATTAAGAGTAAAAAGTAAAAATTCATATACTTTAAAACGTATTTGTCGCTTTTTCTTTTTTCTATTTGAAACCCCCAAAGCAAGATTAAGAACTGAATCCAGACCATGAATAAATGAGACTGTTTAGTTATTGAGAAAATTACTGAAATTACCTGTAAGAATGCATAAGTTTAGATTTTTTATAATTTACTCTTGATTAATACATTTTTGACTAATATAATTATTTGATTAAAGGGTATTAATAAAAAGTAAATGATAAAAATTCAAGAGCTATAAAGAGTATTTGTCTTTTTTTTCTTTAATTACTGCGTATGACCCACCAAATCAAGAATCGTGAATGTTTTTTGAGCGTGGATTGGGTCTACAGAATAGGGCTTGGGCTTTAGAAAAAGGTTTTGTACTAGAACAAGTATCAACAAAATTAAAGTGTCAAAATAAGACAACCCCCATTCTAATTTCTAAGGCTCAAAAAAATGAATAATATGAAACGGGATTCGATGAATACACAAATAAAATTAGAGTAATTTGCATTGATAGTCCGTTAATTATTTAGGTATCGTTCATTTCACTAATTTGAGTTTTTAATTTTAGGTTTCTACAGTAAAAAACTCTAAAAAAATGTCACATCTCAACTTGAATTAAAAACTCGAATCTGTAAAGTGAACGAAGCCTTAATAGATGACACTTTAGTCCTTTTTTTTAACTTTGACAAAACGGATTTTAAACTCTTAAAAATTAGCAATTAAGTTATTTCTGTCAAAATCCGTTAAAATTTATTATTACCAATATACCCTCATATATTGAAACACATGCCTGACAAGCGATGCATTAAATTGAAAACTTAACTTATTTTGATGGAAAAAGCTTAATTGTCAGTTTGAGGATTATTTTTATGAAAATTAAAAAAATAGATCAAAGTATCACCTACTAAAGAATTAAAAAACCGCCGGTGAAAATTACTCATAAAATTATTGTTTTATCCAGGGGTGTAAGACCGTACTTCTGGAAAATATTGGGGCGGTACTAAGATTAAGAACAATTGCGGCACGTGCGGAACTAATGGGCCAAGTAAAAAAAAAAAAAAGAAAAAAGAAGAGAAAAAGAAATGTAGCGTGTGAAGTGGGGAAGAGAATTGAATAGGTTAAAAGAGTGGTATTATTTATATTATTATTAGAAGAGAAGAGGAGGAGAAGACTCGAGAGTGAGAGAGAGTCGCCGCTGTATCAGGTATCGGTGGGAGATCCAAACAAAGGTCTCCAGTCATCTTTTACACTCTTTTCTTTCTCAGATCCCATCCTTTCTTCGGTTCTCTCTCTTCTTTCGATTCCATCTGTTTTTGGATTATGTTTTGTTTTCTTTAATAATCTCTTATCTATCTAATTGAGATTTTCGAATTAGGGTTTTGGCAATGGCTACCAACCAACCGAGGAATATGATGATTCCTCAGCTCTTGTTTCTTCTCATTTCTTGTTTTGCCTTTCAGATCCGTTCTTCTTCCGACGCGGTAATCGCTCTTCCTACTCTTATGTATAATTACTGCCAATCTCACTCATTTCAATTGGATCGATTGATCGCGTTTTTCAATTTTCATTCCTGATAGAATCATTTTCCAACTTTTTTTCCATCCGCAGATTCTGTACGAGTCCTTTGAGGATTCTTTTGAGGGGCGTTGGATCGTCTCTCAGAAGGACGACTACAACGGTCCGTGCTCTCTCTCTCTCTCTCTCTCTCTCTCTCTTCCTTCTCTTCTATTCACTCTATTATTATTGTTATTCTATTATCTTACGTTATATTAGATCTATCTCATTTTATTTCCATTCAATCAGTTTTATATATATCCACATTTCCTAGATTTGGAATGGATTCTCTGTTTCATTCGTAATTAATTAGTTAATTAAGTCATTCATTAATGCCAATAGAGATCTTTTCATTTCTCTTATATCTACTCCAAACTAGTGTTGTTTCTCTGCTTTGTTCAACATATTGTCTTCGATTCTTTGTTTCTCTGCTTGTTTAGTATTTTGCATAAAATATACTTTAATTTTCTCGGAAAGTTCCTCATTGACTTTGTGCTGCGTTTGTTGATCTGAATCTTATGAGATTCAGATTGAATGTCTAATCCACATATTAATTCTCACAAGACTAATACTTTACAATTACATTTCCAAACCAAAGATAAATTTTTGTTACTGGATTTGATGCTATATCTTTGAAAAACACTTTGCTATTCAATTGTTCTTTTATAGGTATACGTATTTTTCTCTTTTTCTTTTTGGGTTCTTGGATGAGCGTTTAAGTAGTCATTTAAACAGTCTGCTTTTCTTATTCTTCTCTCAGGTGATGATACTTTCTTTCACGGAATCGTCTGCATTTTAGATTTGACTAATGTTTTGCTTTGCTTTATAAATCATTGATAATCTGGCAGTTTTGTTTTGTTTTGTTTTTTTCTGAAACTTGAAAACGACCTATAAAAACTAAACATATTTTCTTTCTAATTTAGGTGTATGGAAACACTCAAAGAGTGAAGGACATGATGATTATGGTCTTCTGGTCAGTGAGAAGGCCAGGAAGTATGCGATTGTTAAGGAACTTGATGAGCCTTTGAGTCTTACGGACAAAACAATTGTCCTACAATATGAGGTTCGGCTCCAAAATGGGCTTGAATGTGGCGGTGCATACTTGAAGTACCTCCGACCCCAAGAGGCTGGGTGGAAAGCAAAGGAATTTGACAATGAGTCTCCTTACTCTATAATGTTTGGACCTGACAAATGTGGCTCCACTAATAAGGTCCACTTCATCCTTAAGCACAAGAACCCCAAGAATGGGGAGTATGTAGAGCACCATCTAAAGTTCCCTCCATCAGTTCCCTCTGACAAGCTTACCCATGTATACACTGCGATATTGAGTCCTAATAATGAACTTAGGATTCTAATTGACGGTGAGGAGAAGAAGAAAGCAAATTTTCTTTCATCCGAGGATTTTGAGCCACCACTAATCCCTGCAAAGACAATTTCTGACCCAAATGATAAGAAGCCAGAGGATTGGGATGAGCGAGCCAAAATTCCGGACCCAGATGCTGTCAAGCCAGATGATTGGGATGAGGATGCTCCGATGGAAATTGAAGACGAAGAAGCCGTGAAACCGGAAGGATGGTTGGATGATGAACCTGAGGAAATAGATGATCCCGAGGCAACAAAGCCAGAAGATTGGGATGATGAAGAGGATGGCGAGTGGGAAGCTCCAAAGATTGATAATCCAAAGTGTGAGGCAGCTCCTGGTTGTGGTGAGTGGAAGAGGCCAACCAAGAGGAATCCTGCTTACAAAGGAAAATGGCATGCACCCCTTATTGATAACCCAAATTTCAAGGGCATCTGGAAGCCTAAAGACATTCCAAACCCTGATTATTTTGAGATTGAGAAACCTGATTTTGAGCCTCTTGCTGCTATTGGCATTGAGATCTGGACAATGCAGGATGGTTTATTGTTTGACAATATCCTAATTGCCGATGATGAGAAGGTGGCAGAATCATACAGGCTAACATCATGGAAGCCAAAGTTTGACGTTGAGAAAGAGAAGCAGAAGTCTGAGGAAGCAGCCGACGGTCTTTCAGATGGTCTCTCTGCATTCCAGGTAAGTCCCATATTCTCTTTCCTTTACACGTGCTCTTCTGCCATAGTTTGTTTTTGGCTTTCTTGGTACTTGTTGACCTAAAAACGCATGTGGACCATCAATTGCAGAAGAAAATATTCGACGTGCTCTACAAGATAGCAGATTTGCCTTTCTTGAGCGCATACCAGCCCACAATCATTGTGAGTGGCGGCAATTTTGGACCCCTTTTTTTTTTTATAAAATAATAATATTATTATTATTATTATTTTAGTTTTTAAATTTCTTTCAAATCAAACTTGGAGCAGGGTTTAAATTCTGTAATAATCGATCTTTTCATGCAGGATCTCATTGAAAAGGCAGAAAAACAACCCAACATTACAATCAGTGTCCTTGTGTCCATTGTGGTTATTATCTTGACTGTTCTCTTCAGAATCCTTTTTGGCAGCAAAAAACGAGCGGTATGAAAGTTTGACTCTCATCAAAGTCATGTTTCTCTGCGGTTTTAATCATGTTATGTGATAAACTACTGTGCTGCAGTTTCTAAGCTAACCGTCATTGTCATCATGCTTTGTAGGCCGTGAATAATTCCGAAACAAGTACACCCGCGCCTGCAGAGTCTTCTAAGGATCAAAGCAGTGGCGAAGAGAAGGAAGATGAGAACGAGAAGGAAGATGAGAACGAGAAAGAAGATGCTGCAGCTCCTCCTCGTAGAAGGCCTGTCAGAAGAGACAATTGAATATGAAATAGAATTTGCTGGTTCGGGAATTTTTGAGATAGAACTTCTATTGCTGGATTATTTGAGCCCCGTTTTATTTTCGTAGACAGTTTCCATGAGTATAGACTTGTTAACTCTTTCGATATTGGTCTTTACTTTTGTACTCAGAATGTGTCTTTGTTGGACTAGACTATATGTTAATCTTACATGCATTTGACGCATTCTCCTTATTTTCGGCACTCTATGGAATAAAAATTAGGAACTTGTTTGTTTATTCACATTACTCGTGCTGGGGATTTTTCTTAGGCACTTTTAGTCCTTGAACAACGGGGGCTGTTATGATTCCTTTGAACTTTTTTATATATGGATATAGATATGGATATAGATATACATCTGATTGCTGCCTGAATTCATTGATGACTTTTATAACTGGCATTGCCTTTTTGTGTGCAATATTTCTTCTAAACTAAAACTAAATAGCTACAAAACATCTGGCTAATTTAGTATTTTAGAACATGATTAATGTAGTTAATAAACGCGTCGGTGAAGAATCATTGGAGTTCTCATGGTAATTATATAATGTACTTGATTTTTTTTTTTTTAGCTTTGATAACTTTTGGTGTTTATTAAACAAATATTAGGACCTAGTGGTAGTTTCTGTGCAGTGTGTAGTGTATAAAGATCATCTTTTTGCTAACGCAGCAGAGAATACAGAAATACAGATGGTTGTTTTGTTAGAATGCAAAACGTGTTTGTGCAAGGATTAATATACGATACAGAATCTAGTGTTGTCATCAAGGCAATGGAAATGGAGTAGTGTAGTTCGTATTCATCATTATTTAGCAATGAGAGCTACACACAGCCTAAATAGATTGATTTAACACTGGTAGACTCACCTTAAAAAGCAGATTTCAGTAATATTAAGAAGGGGAAGCGTGTTGAGAGTGTTCCCTTAGAGAGTGACACTAGACATGGAAAAGCGTATAGTATTAGTGTAGATGCAATGCAATGATGCAGAGTTGAAGCAAACATAGGAGGGAGGATCATTCATTTCTGCTTTGTGGAGTTGGGATTAAATTTGTGGGTGACGGTAGTCCCCAAGTGGGAGGCAAACTTGCAGGCTTTTTCGACAACATCAGACAGCCGTGCACGTACACGCTTTGCCGCCTCCTCAGCCGCTCCTATTCCTGATATTGTTTGCTCCACCACCACTCTCCTTTTCTCCTCCCACTCAATCTCTATCTTGCTCAACATTTCAGCCCCTCTTGAAGCTATATGGCGTTTCCCGACAAACCCTTCCTTTTTCTTCTGCAAATTATTACATGTTCAGTAGTGCCTCTTTTACCATTGACAGAGCTATTTATAGCTCAGAGGGGGGATATGTGAGATCTTACAATTTTAATCCGTATACATATATATATATAATTTCAATGTTATGGTTGTCTTATTGTGAAACTTTTGTGGCTGTGTCCGTCCTTTAGAGAAGGAGAAGCTTTACCTCCGTCTGATCTTCATCTGATATAATGGGAATCGGTAAAACCCCAGCTGGCAATACACAAATTGGTTTACCATCAACTATAGCATCCTGCAATGAAAACTACATGATGTGTTTCTCAACCACTCTTAAAATTTAACTTTTTCATTCAATGAATATGGAACTCTTTAACAAGAAGTGGTTTTTTTTTGGATTGAAAGAAGCAAAATATTATTAGTTCATTTTCATGACAGACTTACATTAAGGAGAAGAGCAGTTTGGAAGGCATATGGCTGTCTGAAAGTTACTAAAGCAGACTGCGAACCTCCTAATTTACCTTCAGTCGTGCTGCTATTACTAATATTAATTATTATTTTTGAGCATTAAAGAAACCAAGTACTGATAAATATTATTAGTAATACTGAACCCTCTTTTTTTTTTTTTTATTTAAAGAAAGAAAAAGAAATAGTAGAATGGTTGCAACCAAATGGAAACGGTACCAACCGCGAAATCTGAATGTTGTCAACAGTTCCGCAGTAAGAGAAGAAGTTGGTGACGTCCGCAAGAGTGAGCCGTGGAGAGAGGTTGAGTACCTGAATCTTCAAGCTCAACGTTCCCATTATTGTCTTCTCAGACCACCACCAAAAACTATTTCCCAAGACTATCCTTAAATTAATTTTCTAGCCTTTATTCACTAAGGTTGTGTTTTGACTTTTGAGGCTGCGAATGAGAATGTGGATCTAATCCCCACGATAAAGAATTTCGGAACAACTTTTACAGAGGAGCTCGGATTTAAACAAAAAAAAAAATGTAGGTTGGCATCTTATCTTCTTTCACATAAACTACTTTATTCTCCTGGAAAAAGACATTTTTTTTACTAGCATATGTGTCGAAGATCAACTTTGGCCACTAGATATTAATTTGTGAAGAATACAAATCAGAAGACAGTTGAATGTTGATCATAACAACACAATTTAAATTGACACATATGACACACGATTTAAATTATAATGTTAGATGTTATGAGAAATTTCTTTAGGTATCACGACCAGTTTGTTTTGCTAACACTATTTGATTTGTTTTGTATGATACTCACACACCAAACCACTTGAGACGAGTTGTACATTACTATTTTACTTTCTGAGCTTGCTTAATAAAATCCTGTTTGATTGCAAGGAAAAAAAAAAAAAAAACCTCAAGTGGCAAACACTGCTTGATTTAAATACTACGATTATGGTCAACAACCCGCATGTTTACTTACCAGGAGTGGAGAATGGAAATTAGGAATTAGAATCAACCTCATGTTTACTTTCTCATTTTTATCTTGAAATGAGAGTAAGAATGTGTGGGTCTCACACTAATTTGGGGTTGAAGAATGAGATTGACACTCCCTCCACCCCCCCACCGGATTAGCACTCCCAATCTTAATAATAAATGTGAATTGCGATTTTACCCTTAATTCTACTAACAAATTTGTGAATAGAAAAGTAAAAAGTAAAAAATTGAAAATGCCTTAATTTAATTTCGCGCCTCTTGTATCTCCTTGCGCACTTCCTCTGATATTTTCTTCTCCTCAAAACACAGCATTGCATCAACAGGAACTAAGAGCATCAATAACATAAATCACTATGGTTCTTTTTTATTGAATCGCAAGTTTATTTTTTTATTTTTATTTTTTTTTGTGTTTATTTGTTAAATCTATGATCAAATCATGTTTTGCCCATTGATTGTACAACATTATTTTAAGAATTCGTGGAGATCCAGAACATTATAATTTCTAATTAAAAAAATGTAAGTGTGATTAAAAAACTGATTAGTTATCCTAATATTAAGATAGTTAATATAATATATAATTTTTTTTTTAAGTTTAATACACAAAAATTTACAAAAAAGATAAGTAAGTAAATTTATAGTATTTTATGCAGATTTTAAATGTAAATAAACGGATGAATAAGATTATAACTCATTCTAACTCTAATTTTTGTACACTTCAAATCTTATTAACTCTAATTTATGTTTAGTCCGATACAGATAAATAAACGTGCCATGTGGTGCTCTTATCATGGAATACGCCAAAGAGCTCCGCGAATGAAATTGTGTGAGCCTAGCGAAATTATAGATAACACTAGTGTGACACTCTGATTATGTAAGGGTCAAAGAGTGGATGAAACAAGAGACAGAAAAGAACAAAAGAAAATGGACATGAACAAGGAAGTAATGACTAATTCCAAGAAATAATAACTTTTTTCAAAAAGAGAAAAATAAAAATAAAAAATTCTACAGTAAAGATAAGAAACGAAAAAAAAAAACTTTATTGGTAAGACTGTATTTCTAATCATAACATATATATTTTTTTCATTTTAATGTAATTTTAATTTAATTTATGTTTAAAAGCATGAACTATCTTATTATGAATTTAAAAAAAAAAAAATTTAAATCTCATTTATTTTACTAATTTATGTTTTATTATTATAAATAATTTTTAAAAATAATTAAATTAAATTTATTTATTATAATAAAAAATTTTCATATAAAATCTTATTTTTATTTAAATTAAAAATTAAAATCAACGTATTAAAATCTCATTTTGATTTTCCCAAACACACTTCGGGAGTTGAGAATGCGTCGCTGTCGTGGAATTTCTTTTTGACTCTCTTTTCCTTTCTTTTCTCTTTTCTTCTTTTGCCTTTTTTTTCTTTTTTTTCCCCCGAAATAAACAGTAATGACGGACAGAGAACCAGAAAAAGAAAGAGAGAGAGAGAGTTAGACAGACATCCCCGCCGGCCGGCCCTCTAGGCTGCTTTCTATTCTTCATTTGTTTTTTTCTTTTTTCTTTTTTTTTTTGTGTTCTCAAAATAAGAATTAAGAAAATAGGAAAGAAGGGGAAAAAATATCATTTGTTGAATGATAAAAGAAAAGAAAAGAAGAAGAAAAAAAAAAGAGGAAAGAGACGAGGGGTGTTATGAAACTTTTGACTTCAGAAGTGATGGCAGGCGTACGATGTGGCATGTGGCATAAACTTCATTTAAGTTCTGATATTAATTTGTAGACTCAACACAACAGCCACTGTCCGCTTTTTAAGTAGTTTGGTTTGCTGCAATGAGCTCCTCCGTCTCTTATTAACTTATTCTTTTTAAAAAAAAAAAAAAAAAAACTCAGGTGTGAATAAACCCACCTCCAAAAGAAAAGAAGGAAAAGAAAAAAAGAAGAAGAAGATGAAAAAAAAAAGATGGTAACTTTGAAACATGGTCAGTGCAGAGAGAGGAGACTTTAAAAGAAAAAGAAAAAGAAAAGGGTGAAGATTGATTAAAATGAACTAATTTAATTGCTATTTGCAACCACAAAATTTCCATTAGTTTTATTTTGAGGCCTATCTCTCTCTCTCTCTGATTCTCAGTCCTTGGCGAAAATAATAATAAAAATGATAACAATAATTGAGAATTAAATCAGAAAATTGAAGCCTATTTTTTTGGTGGGGGCGACCATTAGGGATCCAACTCGGCGCCGGCGGGATGATGGTCTGGTCAGGTTGAGGTACGTCCTCAAAGGATATATAGAATAGAATGTTGTGATTTCTGATCTCCCAAATTTTGTTGTGTTTTGTTTTTTGCATTTCCCATTTTTCATTCAAATTTTGTTTCTTTTGTCTGTGAATGTGATAGATGGTCAGCCATGGTTTGCGAATGAGGGAATTGGCCATTGCATTTGCATTTGCATTTGCTGCTAAATCACAAATTCACAATCAAAAAAGCTAACCCAAAAAAAAAAAGAAAGCAATGAAGGCCAGAAATGAAGTTCCTTCAGACTCAAACCGCCACATCATTGACAGCCATCAATATCAATACGAATATGATCCCTCCATCCGAGTTTATCAGCTTTGGAAAGGCAGCAACGTAAGCCTCTTCCATCTCTCTCTCTTTTTTCTTTTTCTTTTTCTTTTTTATCAATATAATATAATGCTTATTAAATGTTCTTTTGGTAATGTTTCTTGTGATTCTTTTATCATAATTTTTTGTTACCATGTAGTAGGGGGAAAAAAAAAAGAAAAAAAAAAAGAGGAAAAAAAAAACGAACTGAATCATGGTCATAATAATGTCCTGCTTCTTTCTACAACTTATTAATCCATGAGGCTGGCCGAGTTTTAGTGGGCATATGTATCTACTTGAGTCTGTTGATAAAATCGTTTCATTTCATGATGTATGATGTGATCATTGCTTGTCTCACTTTCAATAATCTATGTGTCACAACAACCAGTATTTGAACTTTTGGTCTATCAGATCTGAACCCCACAAGTTTCTGAAGCGTTTCTCCCTACAGCCTAACAACCAAATCATTTTGCATTTTGTGTTGCAGAGATTTTTCCTCAACGGCAGACTTATTTTCGGTCCGGACGCGAGATCGTTATTCCTCACCGTGTTCCTCATCCTTGCTCCAGTGATCCTGTTCTCCGCATTTGTTTCTCAAAGACTCATTGTTGAATTCCATCACAATCTCGGCAATCTTATTGTCGCCATATGCATTATCTTCACCATTTTTGTGAGTTCTTCCTCTTCAATCTCTGGTTTTGCTACTTCTCTCATCCAAGTCTTCTCAATTGCTTTTCTTGTGAATCTTTCACATTTTTTAAACTATTAAAAAACACTTACAGTTAGTTTGTAATAGTATATGCTCTGGTCACAGAACAAAGGAAATCCCTTTACTATTTTACTTGTACTAAGTTTAGTTCTTTTCCTTGTATCTTCAAAACAATATTGCTAAAACTAGTGAACACAAGAGGGAGCCGAGGGAAAAGAAGAAAATTTCAGTTTCTTAGTACTTGAGGGCTGTAAGAATATGAAATCTCAATTGCTCAAAGCAAATGACTCCAAAAGATTTAGTGCCACTCTCTCTCTCTCTCTCTTGTGTTTGTGAAAACAAGCAAATGGTACTACAGAGTTTGTTATTCATGGAATTGAAAATTTCCTGGGGAAAAAAAAAAAAAGAACAAGGAGGAGGTAAATGATTTGTACTCGTGACATGAAGACCTCGTGAGAAGATAAATGGTTTTCTATAACTATATATCAAATGATTGTTCACTTCAGTAGGAGTGTTTGTCTTGCTGTAATTGTCCTTTAGAAAAGTTTTGAGAAAGTATGAAAAGTTCTATCCATGTTCCTTATAACACATAATTTTGCACCATTGACCTTAAACAAACACTCTCATACTTGAAGAGTTTGGTTATTTTACTATTCCAGGTTATTATTCTCCTCTTCCTTACATCCGGAAGAGATCCCGGCATTATTCCTCGCAATCAGCATCCTCCAGACCCAGAAGAGGGACATGTTGGCTCTAGCATCTCATCTGATTGGCCGTCAAATCACGATGGAGCTCCAAGTTTTCCCCCCACAAAAGATGTTATAATTAATGGGCACATAGTTAAGGTCAAATATTGTCAGACGTGCATGTTGTATCGCCCGCCCAGATGCTCCCATTGCTCCATATGCAATAATTGTGTTGAGCGTTTTGATCACCATTGCCCATGGGTGGGACAGTGTATTGGGAAGGTATGCATCATTAGTAACTCGTCTTATTCAGAATCCCCTAATTTGCCGATTCATCACAATTTTTAATTCTTTACTGCATGATCGTATTAAGTTTCTTTCAAACTTACTTAAACAGTTATATTCGGTTCAATTTTCTTTACTTTAAGATGCTTAACAAGGTTGAATTGATTTTATGGTTTCTTTTTTCTTACAGAGGAATTACAGATTATTTTTCATGTTTGTCTCCTCCACAACCTTGCTGTGCCTTTATGTTTTTGCCTTCTGCTGGGTAAACATCAGGAAAATAATGGATGCTTACCATTGTAATCTCTGGAGGGCTTTTATGAAATCTCCAGTCTCAGGAATTCTGATTTTCTACACATTTGTAGCATCTTGGTTTGTAGGGGGTCTCACCGTATTTCATCTCTATTTAATTTGCACCAATCAGGTTCCTATGTCATCTTTTTATCTTTATTCTGTTTGCTGTTCTGATTGCCTCTCTCTCTCTCTCTCTCTCTCTCTCTGAACACAAATCTTCTACTTCTGTGCAGACAACATATGAAAACTTCAGATATCGCTATGATAGGAAAACAAATCCTTATAACCGTGGGTGCGCTCGCAATTTTGTGGAGATATTCTTGTCTAAAATTCCAAGCTCAAAAAACAATTTCAGGGCTAAGGTGAAGGGGGAGTCATCTTCTGTGTCCAACACTCCAATGTCATTGGGGCATTTGAGGAGCCTGGAGATGGCCAAAACAAGTATAGAGATGGAGATGGGAAAGCGACATGGTGTTGCTGCCGAAGATTTTGAAGATTTACAGAGTCAGATGGACAGTGTTGGTGGATTGGAGAGGTGCGGTACCGAGCCAAAACATCATACAAACTGGGATCACAAAGCTAACTGGGAAATTACTCCTGATATACAGATGTTGGCTGCAGAGTTCGGTATGGGATATGGTACAACGGACAGACAGAAAATCCACGGACGCCTTTGAAGTTTAATGGTCTTGAGCTAGTCCTTAATTGTCCTTGAGCATGAACTAACTCAAAAGTTGTTTTTTTATTGCTCTGTTTTGTCATTTCATATTTTGCAAAGGTAGAGATTGTAGGTCCAGGTACATGCTTTTTTTGGGTGATTTCTGTAATGCAGTGGTTTATGATGAGGATTGGACTGATTAAATGTCGATATATTTATTAATGTTGAAGAAAGAAAGAGAAAAGAGAGAATATTATATATACTATACTTGGTTCATCAATAGTAATTGTTTTTGTTTTATTTTATTTTATTTTGGGGAGGGGCATTGTTTTGTATATTGGTTTCCTTTGGGTAAGCATTACAACACAGAAATGCCAAGTTGAGGATTTTGTTTAGTTAGTTATGCCCAGCATCTGTTGAAGAACCCATCAGCTGTTAATGCGTGTTAATAAATGCATATTATTCCTAGTTATGTGTTTTTGTTAAGGTATCAAAATCATGAATAAGGTCTTTGTGTGTGTATTGATACAATTGGCTGGGAGTAACAAGTATAGGACACGATCCATCTGATGCAATAGTTATAACCAACATTATTATGAAACTCCCTCTATATATATATATATATATAAATGTTGCTTACTTGTACATTAGCTTATATATACAAGCACAACGCAGTCAAAAGCCTTTAAAAAAAAAATAAATAAATAAAGAAAGAAAGCTGTTTGCAAGCCATACGTCACTAGATCATTCACAATGTTCTTATTCATGATATGCACAAGCACAACACAGAAACAAAAGCAGAGAAAAATCCCGTTTATAGTATGAAGGAAGAGGCATTAATATTCTCTGACTTGGGTAATTGATCGTTATGATGATCTCTCAAAAGTCAAATCTCATAAGTCATTCCGACCCTGAGAAGCCTGGCTGAAGGAATGGCCATGACCTTCTCTCCCTGCCTGAAGTTCTTCCTCAGGAAACTGTAGGCGTAATTCACCACAACCTTCTTCAAAAATGAAGACTCCTGTGAGGCCACCACTTGGGTTTCTCCCAGCAGATACACCACTCCCTTCTCCATTGCCTGCTGTACAAACTCCATCTCTTCTTCTGCTCCCTTGGCCACGGCCTCCACGGGACCCGATGCAGGCACTATTCGGCTAGAGGAATGCGTGGACTTGTTGAATGATCGAATGGAATTGTTGCCAGACGAATTAGCTGATGAGACGGAGACGTGATCATGATCACGAGATGCTGATGGCAGCGCCTCCTCAACGTGAACCGTTGATGATGACGATCGTCTTGCTTTGTGATCATCATTGCCGCTATCTCTGACTTTATCTTTGTGTTCATCTTTGGTTTCGAGCTGTTCTGCTTCATTGATGAAGCTCTCATGTTGGATGAATTCCTTGAGCTGCTCCACCAATTGACGCTCGAACTCCTTGGGCTCCCCAAGCACGTCGTTGTAGCCGTACCTAGGGTGTTTAAAGAATCGATCAAGCTAAATAAATAGATTCTTATTTGAAGTTGGTTTGGTTAATTGTTTTGAAAAAAACCTTGTTTATTCATTAGTTTCTCCAAACTGACTCTACTTAACAAGAGCCCCTAACCATACCTCACCACGCAACGGAACATGCGGTACTCCTTGGGCTCCACTTGGCGGAAGAGAAAGCGCTCCTCCAAGGCAACTTTGCTGATGGGAATGGACTTGATGGAGACGACGACGAGAACGGAGTGAATAGAAGGGATGTGGGTGATGAAGTGGGTGAAAATAGGAGGAATGCCCTGCACTAGCTCAGAGTAGAGAAGCCCCATTCCAGGGACCCGGTTTATGTTTGGGCTGCCGGCCAATTCTCTCACGTACTCACTGGAAACCTTGTTCCTGAGCTCGTACATGTACCTTTCCTTGTGAACGTAGTGCCAAATCCACATGACACTCATGAGGAACAAAGAAAACACCAGCGGAAGGAAACCGCCCTGTGTGAACTTGTACATCACCGACGACATGTATATCACCTCTATCGACCCGAACACCACAAAGAAGAGAGCGATCAGCCATATGCTCGTCTTCCATATCACCAGCATTATCAGCGTCACCAGACATGTCGTCAGCACCATTACCGTCACCACGGCGATTCCTGCATATGCACGCACTCAATCATTATATTGGTCAAATTGAAGCCACAATCATGAATTAGCTTAGATTAATTGCGTATGCACGCACGGTGCGTGCCGTAGGTACCATAAGCGTTGCCGATCTTCTCGGTGGTCTTGAAGGCAGCGGTGACAATAACACAAGCGATCATGAGCAAGTAGTTGACTTCAGGAATGTAGACTTGACCCTCGTACTTTGCAGATGTGTGAACCACTTTCACTCTTGGGAAACAACCCAAACTCAGTGACTGTGATATTATTGAGAATGCTCCTGATATCATTGCTTGGCTCGCTATGATTGAAGCTGCTACTGCCACCACGAACATCGGCCAATATAGTGGATCTGCACTTACAGTATTCCATACAATTACATTTAATTAAACACTAGATCAACAAAGATCATTTATACCGTATTATCATTACCTACCCGGTATTGACTTGTAAAATGCATCAGAGACCTCATCAGGGAACTTGCGGAGGTAAGCGGCTTGCCCAGCATATGCAGTCAATAACGCAGGAAATGCGATGCAAGAAAAACTCAGCTGCATATTGGTCATGGTTGGTATTAATTATTACTTATAATTAATATTATTTGGTTTTATCTAGCTACTACTTATAATCAATGCATCTTACTTACTTGAATTGCAGGGATGTTGAAGTGACCTAGGTCAGCAAACATGGCCTCCGTCCCTGTTATGCAGAGAAAGATTCCACCAAGAGAGACCCATCCTTGTCTTCCATTTCTCTTCATGTACTCCACTATGTAATATGGATTGAAAGCGCGTAAAACACCAATATCATACTTGAACAAGTTGTAAAGACCGATGCCACTGAGGAACGAAAACCACACGAAGATTATCGGAGCAAACAATGATCCTACTTTGTCAGTGCCGAATCTCTGAACCGAAAACAGAATCACCAAGATTGCTATGGATATCCCCACCACCACGTCTGAATATGTGTGTACACGCGTTTATTGATATTTCATGGCATTGCAATACACATTATAATACGCACACACAATGTTAATTATCTTGATATACCAAGAGCTCATGTCGATAGAAAAGTATGTAATTAATCACCTTGGCCGAGAGACTTGATGCCGCTGACGGCGGAGAGGACGGAAATGGATGGAGTAAGAACGCCGTCGCCGATAACCATGGAAGTTCCGGTGATGGCGACGATGAAAAGCAGGAGGTGAGAAGTTTTAGTCTTCTCGAGCATCTCCTTAATCTTGAGAGCCCGTCGCAACTGGTTGGATGGAGTTTCAAGTCTGTAGTTCGAGAGCTGCCGGTCTTCGGGTTGGTAATTGGGAATGAGGCTGACCTTGGCGTAGCGGCATATCAAGGAATAGAGAGCGAAGGTCCCACCGTCGCCATTGTCGTTAGCCCACAAGACAATGAAGACGTACTTGAGCATGGGAACAAGAGCAATTGTGTAGATGATGAGAGAGAGAACACCAAGAATATCATCTCCATTTTCAATGCTTCCTTTTGTGAAAGTGCTTGCGAACACGTACAGTGGAGACGTCCCTATGTCCCCATACACGATCCCTATGCTCTGAAATGCTAATATCAACGTCCTTCTCCAGATCCCCTACAAATTACAATCAATTTATAATATTCCACATGCATGCATCAAATTAATTAACATCATCATCTTAAATTAATCATATTGATGCAGATGATCGAACCAACAAATAACGACAATATTAATACTGCTAGCTAAAACAGTTTTTTAAGTACCCCTGAAGGATGGTTGTGAGAGGTAGTCATGGAGACCCTTCCAGCCTCCAGATTGAGGGAGTCCACTCGGCGTAGCTTTGCCCATGATGTCTTTCTATCTTTCATGTTATTATTATTATTATTATCATCAACTTCTGGAGTGCTATTTTCTACTACTACTGCTTCCTCTTTTTCTGCCATATTCTTCTTCTTCTCTTTTGCAGCTTTTTGATTAATTTGCTTTTATGTTTCGCTGCACCCGCTTTCATTTATAGCCATCTCACCATCCAAATAATATTGCTTCTTTTTTTTTAAACAATTTATTTTCTTAATCACTATAGCTATTTACAATGTATTATCAAATTAATTTGTTATACCAAGTACATTGAGTAAACGTGCCAGCTGGTTTTAGTTTTTAATTTGGCTGCTGCATGACGTGTTCATTTCTCAAATTCTTAATTAGCACTTGTTAACTAATATGTTTATACCAATTATCAAGAATCGGAATGAATACATGTACATGATATTCTTAATTAAGTTTCTAAAGTCAAATCTAGTTTGCAAACAAATATTTAATCAATTAATTAGTTCAAAGCAGAAAGAGCCAAATTAATTTATAAGCAGTTCAAGGCCAATAGTTTATAATTAGGTCCTTAGGGACTTGCCCTTGGAACCGTCCGTGCATATATCATGTACTAATTAATAACGAAACTGGTTTCTGAAAAGTGCTAATTAAGCTGCTAATTTCAGGAAAAGGCCAAATGTAAAGTACGGTACTATTGCTGTGTATTATATGTATAAATTTAATCAACGCATGAAAATGAATATATATATATATATATATATATATATATATATAAAGTACCTAAGAAATTCTTCTACCTTTCCCACACGTAATATGGGAATATGGCTAACAGGTTGAGCACTTGAGCTCCTAAAGTAGTTGACTTTTGTATGGTATATTCTCAAGCTGAAAATGTCAAAATATTAATACCGAATTTTTAGGCAATTAATTTCTCTGCCAATAATATTACTTTCACTCATCAAAATTGTTTATGTTCAATAGAGTTGTGTGTGGTGGTTTTATTTTTATTATTTATTTATTTTTAGTTGGAGAAAGGTTTAAAGCTCTACAAAGTTGGATGTTGTGTATTTATATGAATCAACACATACTACATTGTCACTAAATTAAAGAAAAATACGATTACCAGTACACTAACGTGTTTCACAGGCAGAGTTTATTGTAGATTAGATAATTGGGAAGTGGAAATCATGTTCATTAAAATTATTAGAACTTGATTATAAACCTTCAAGAAAAACCCATTTGCACTAGATACAAGTTAATTTTTTTAAGTTCAATCATTTTGCATAAATTAGTATTCTTGTCAAGATTAATTAGTAACACTTTGCAATTAAATAAATAAATTAAATATTAATGGAAATATGGCATTGCTGAAGTCATGACAGTGAACCTAAATATGAGAAATGTTAGTTAAATAGAAATTATTGCAATCATCAGCAATATAATAACAACTTGATTGAATTCTGAATGAATAATTTGTTAAAAAAAAAAGAGCAATAATTGTGAAATTTAAGGGAGTTGAAATCTTCATACACGGAAGGTGGGCGGTTAAGCCGTAATTAACTTATGAATACGTTGACCTTTTTTGGTGTTTACTGTAACATGCTCGCTTTCATTTCAGCCCCCAAAAAAAAAAAAAAATGGAAAAAATGAAAAAGTCAGAAATGACGTGAGCAAACCAAGGAAACTCAAAAAGAATTCCACTTTTCAGCAAAGGATTAGGTGAAACTTTTTGAAGGCATGGGCGTTTACGTTGTTCTTTATGTTGTTTTGCGCTCCAACGACTTTTGGTGTTGTTGTTGAGAGATTTTCCCCCACACCGGAAGGAATCAAGAGCGTGACATATGCTGTCTTAATGGTGACGATTGATTGATTGATGAAACCATATTAGTATTGCTATTAGATCAGGATTCTAATAGGATCGACGAGTCAAGGGGAACCATCGAGATAACATTGACCGAAATACATACAACCAATTCAGATATTGAGTTCGAAAGACTCGAGGTTCGGTCTATAACAGATAGTTTTTTGAGGTTCGACGATCAAAAATATGCCATCTCTCAAACATATGACGGCGCAATCTGCTGCATTCTAATTAACTTTCGAATCATGGAGAAGAAGCAAAAAAAACATTAAAATAGGGGCTTAGCATATTGGTGCTCATGAAAACAAGTTTCTTGCAGTTTATATGACTTTGGAAGTGTCGGACAATAAAATTCTAAGAAGGTACGCACCCAATCACTTGCTCAAAAAGTATTTTGTGACCATATAAGTTGTAAAGCATTCTAAGTGATATATAGCTTGGGAAGAAACAAAAGACCAAGTACATCATTATTAAAGAACAATAGAAAACATACATTTAACGGGCAGCGAGGGTAGAACAAGTCAAATATTATACACAATGCATGGCCTGTTCTTTCATAGAATGGATAGTATGGATGCAATAAGTAAATCGAGTGCAAAATATAAAAAAAAAGAACTCACATGTTACTTTTATGGTCAATAGCAATATATTTAAGACCCAAAGGCAACGAGAGATTCCCCAAAAGAGGAGAATTGCTTTATCTATGACTATGAGCCTGTTTTGGTTGGCAAAAAGAAATAAATAAAGGGACTTTGACTATCTATATAGCATATTAGTCTATAGCTTTGATAGTCACCTGTTTGTCGAAATGTTATTTCATTTGACTGTAAAATTTTCACATGATATTGATATGTAAGTTCAACCAACACAATGGCACCTAATCTTTCTTTCTCTGACAAATTCAACGTATTTTTCAGCTGTGTTGTCCTATAGATGATATATGAACGGCTCCCCTACTTCTTACCTCAATAATCTGATATCTGTTTGATGTTGTAGCTAAAGTTCAGTCATATACACACATCTCTATACTTCTTACATGTAATTCTCTTTTACTCCTAAGCACTGAATTCAACAAAAAAAGAAAAAAAGGGGTCAAGTTTAGAAGTAGGAAGATTGCTCCGGAATGACTCCCATCTGCCTAAGCACCAAAGCAGCTTTTTTCTTGAGTTCAGTGTCATGAAGAAGTTGGATAAGGATCCTTTCTGATCTCTGAAATGTCTGTTCACTCATATGTGTATGTTGAAGGATCTTTTGGAAGAGATCCAAAGCTTTGCTTTTGGCAGATGAGCTTCCCTTCTCCAAGACTTGCAGGAAGGCCACCACACCCTCGCTATCCACAATGGTAGAAATCGCGCGGGATAGTGTGGCGTGGTCTATTAACAGTGTCTCAAGTGCCATCAGAGCAGCCTCCGCCACCCCAGATTCCACCTCGCTCAATGTCTGCACAAGTGGCTTCACTGCATCCACCTTGACGAGGCAGAATGTGTCTCTTTCTGCGCAGGCAGAACCGTGAATAGAACATAAACTTGTGCTCGCGGATGGGGCTAAGCAGCAGCAACCACCACTATTCGGGAAGAACTTCATGACATAAAGCAGAGGAGTAACGGATTTTCTGGATTGGCTTGTCATGGTCGTCCCATTGGAGACTAATAGCCTGGTTGATTGAGATAGTTGGGCAAGCGCCATGGCTGTGTGCTGCTTCGCTAGCGAGCTTCCTCTAGATAGGATGCGAACTAGCGACGGATACATTTCAAGTTTCCCCAATTGCCTCTTAAGTTCAGGATTGGTAGGTTCTGTGTAGCGCAAGAGTGCCGCTAGAGCATTTTCTAATAGACATGCATCTGGCCTGGCTGCAGCTGATGTTGCTATGCCACCGCCATTTTCACCGTCCATGCTGCAAATCACCTCATGAATGGACTTGAGCACTTCTGACTTGCGCAGTATTTCATCGATTATAGCATCATTATTGGGGAGCTGGCTTATGATTCTGGCAGCAGAAGACCTTTCTCTGATGTCTGACGAATTGGTGAAGATTGCTGCCAAGGTAATAATGGCAGTTTCCTTTTCAGGAGAGTTAGGTGGCAATGGAACCCCATCAGGATGACCTTCAGATATGCAGTTTATAAGCTTCATTGCCCATCTTCTGACCGCAGGCTGTTCTCCACGAATGGAAGAGAAGAGGCGCGCAATAGCATCCTCATCCGTTCGGATCAGATTTCGAGCTGTCTCTGATTTGTAGCTAAGTTCAACCAGCAGGTGCAAGAACTGAATCTTGGTTTGCCCATCAGCACTGGCTACATGCTGCAACAGTAGACTAACGTTGTGCTCTGATTGTAGCTCCTGTAAGCCCTGATATTTTTGGAGCTCACGGTCCTTACTAGCACCAACAAGTAGAGCAAGAATCTCGGCGGCTTCTTGTTTCAAGCTCAGATCAGAGCCAGCATATGAGATGAGAACCAGCAAATATGGTATTGTAACAGAGTCTTTTAAAAGCCGCTTTACCATCTTGTGGTATGATAGAAGCTTCTGGATGGACTTGAGGCAAGCAGATTTGCAAGCTGGGATGCTTGAAGAGAGCATTTGGATTAAGTTGTGTATGAATTCCTTGTCTTTCAAGTCCTTAATGTTGTTCTCCTTGAGTGGCATCTCTGTCAAGGCTGTAGCCATCCATGCTCTTGTTTCTTGAGGTCCTAAAAGAAGAAAAAATTTATCATTTTGTCACGCGATTAAGAACAGTATCTCCAATTATAGTGCTTACTTCATGTGTCAATCTAAAAATTTAGCATTTGAATAAGGAAATCGTTCTTAAATTTAATATTATAACTAACATTATAATATGACACATGCTATATTTTTTTAACCTTGATTGAAGCGAGCAACAAATGGCTGGAAGTGCCCGGCTCCGGCCATCTTGACAACAAAATGGGTGTTAGATGAGATGTTGCACAACACTGCTTGGGCTTTCTCTGACACCTCAACGTTGTTGTTTTCTACAAGAGAAACTAAAATAGGAATGCAGTCTATTGCATTTCCTATTTTGTCTATTAATATTTCCTTTTTTGACAGCTCCAACAGAACTGAAAGGGCGTCAGATTCTTGTCCACTTTTGCACAAGTGCTTCACAATGCGGCGAATTGCCCCTGCTTCAACAATTGCTTCCTGCAAGAACCAAACCAACAACAAAGAGACATTTTCACGGTGTTAATAGGTTAAAAATTAAATGGTAGTACTGTTGAGAAAAGTTGAAATGATTTATATACATGAAAGGACTTAATAAGTTAATTTTTTGGGTTAAGTCGGGCTCAATTTCACATGTGATTTCTCTCCCGACAAGTACTAGTGGGATAAAATGAAATAAAAAAAAAAAAAAAAACCTCCATAATCTTGTTTCTTGCCTTTTGATGGTCATCATATTTGGCTAGATAAAAGAGGCATTTCAAAGCTGTTGCAGCATTGAACCTAGTGTCTTTTAGGATTTCGACAAACGAGGATGTGAGTCCTTGTTCCGCAACTCTGAGTGAATATTTAGGCATTTGCATGAAATGCTGCATCTCCTCTAAGGCCTTGTTTTGCGTAGAGTGGTCACCAGATTTGATTCCGAGAACCGCGGCTTGAAATCTTGAGTCGAGGTCTCTATGCTTCCACTCGTCTATGGAGCTCCGAAGCAGGAGGTTGGGCGTAAGATCCATAGCTTCAAGCTCACATCCACATTTTGGGCATTTATTATTATAATCTCCTTGGCCAAAATATTCTTGAATTGCACTTCTCTCAAAGCTGTGGCCGCATAGAATTGCTACTGGGTCTGTCATCACCTTGTTGCTTAATGGACATCTAAACGAACTAAGTGGTTGCTGATCTTCACGTGCAGCTGACCCTGATTCAACGCTCCTGACCATTTCTGTATCGTACAACAACCCTATCAACTGAGAAACTTGAACTGCTTCGCCCTGCTTCTTTTGTACCTCCATTTCCTGCTTCAAGAGTTGAACCTCTTCCTTAACCAACTGAACACTCAACTGACTCCCGCAATCTTCTCCATAAGCCGGTGAGCGTGGTCTCGATTCCTATCGTCCTGCGACAACAAAAACTCGTGCTGGTTTCTGGTTTTTTAATAGATCAGATCGTATTGGCTGTGAAGGCGTGGCATGTTCACGCTTTTTGGTGGTCGTCCAATTCAAACTTAAAAACTCCAACTCAAAAGTGATGAGGATTAAGAAGAGGCAGACAAAACAAAGAAACCTGGGATTGGGTTTGGATTAAGCATCAGATAGGAATGGAGTTGAGGTTGGAGGAGACTCCATTTTTGTGTTGTTGACGGGCCAACAGCCTGAGGCCTCAGAGACCAGATAGCAAAGACGCTACTAAAAGTCTTTGCTTTTCTTTTCTTTCTTCCTTTAATACCCCAAACAAACAAGGGAGCTTTTGAGTTTGTGTTTACCTACACGTACCTTTTTCCATTAGTACGGAGGATTATTTTTTTTTTAATGAAATTTAAAAAAAAAATTTAAATTTAAGTTATAATTTTATTTAAGTTCATATTTTTTTTAATTTGAGTTTAAATTTAAATTTGTGGTTAAACTCGAGATTTAAATTTTTTTCTTTAATTCTGATTGAGATGATTAATAAAAAGACAAATAAAATTATATACATATACCCTATTAAAATTTTTCTTCACTATTGAGTTTTTATTAAAATACTATCTAAATATAAATTTAAATTTTGACACACTCAAACACAAATTTAAATAAATTCTTAATTTAAATCATAACTTAAATATACATATCTAAATATAAATTTAAGTTATAATTTTAATTTAAATTATAATTTAAACTTAACTTAAAATTATCACTTAAATCATCGACTCAAAAATGTAAAAAACAACCCCTTAGTTTCCTCTTGATTTCCAAGTTCCATCCCACACCGCACACACACACACAAAAAAGACTTTTTCCGTGCCCATTGTACTTTTTTTTTTTTTTTTTTTTTTTTTTTTTTTTGTGGTTTTCCGTCCCCTTTTTTTTTTTTTTTTTTTTTTTTTTTTTTTCAGTGTGAGGTGTGAACACGTAGTAGTGCAGGTGATTGCTTAGAAATTTCATTTTTCATGGAGAAAAAGACTACAAATTCCATAATTTTCTCTTGAAATAAATATTGACCACTCTACAGTTACTTTATATAATAGAGAGAGAGAGAGAGAGAGTTTGACATTCAAGTCAGGACTCGGCAGGTTGTCCCAAAGACAAAAAAGGCTTTTGTTAGTCTATTAATTGTTTATTCCAATTTTTTCAAAGCCGTGTTTGCGTCTTTGCTGGTGCCAACCTATATTATTTGGAGACTCACTGGACTGGAGGACCTTTTCTTTTTCCTTTAACTTTTGTTTTTATTTCCATTAATCTCAATTAAGTCCAATGTGTCCACCATTTCAAATGAAATCACCATCCCATTTCCCCAATCCCTTTTTTTTTTTTTTTTCTCTTTTGTTCTATTGGCTATCTGTTTGACAATCTCTTTCTCTCTCTCTGGTCGGCCAATTTGTCTCTGCTCCAAAACAAACCTCGTCTTATTACTGATTAAAATATTGAGGTTCTGTTTATTTTACCGATTTAAATTTAAAATTTAAATTTTGTTATAATAAAAAATTTTTAAAAACAGTCACATTTAATTTTTTTATTTATTACAATAAAAAGCTCTCACATAAAATCACATATAAACTCGAATTAAAAACTCGAATCAACGAATTAAATGGGCTCTAAGTCATGGCATCCTAAGGTCTCGTTCATTTTGCCGATTCGAGTTTTCAGTTTTAGGTTTTTACATCAGAAAATGTCACGTCTAACTTTTTCGACTACAATTAAAAATTTTTAAAAAATGTCGTATCTTAACCCGAATTAAAAATTCGTATCCGCAAACGAGCGAAGGTTAAATCTTGAAAAAAACAACCCTGTTTTCCTTTGTGTGTGTGTGTGTGTGTGTGATGCATGCTGCACAAAAGAAAAACAAAGTTGTTTGGATTTTCTCTGACAACGTAAGGATTTTATCAACTCAATTTGAAGGTTATATGGATATATTAGTATAATGATTTTCTTGTTGTATTATTCGACGCTGTTGGCCGTTAGGAGCATTCCTTGCGTGCATTGCATGTAATAGAAGATTCAATATATATCACTTGTTAGCCTTACAACTTCACATGCGGATATATACATACATAAATATTGATCGTGTTAACCAAAACTACTTTCTTTGCTAACAAGTGTTAGTTAATGTTATATCAATTGATTCTCAAGTCGATAATTGCATTCTATGAGGTATCCTGAAAATTCGGATTTAAATTCAACACCTTCTGTGAGCTCGACACCTCCCTCAAAACTCAACCGTATATCTTGAACCCGACACCTCAGGTCAAAAGTATGCTCAACTCGGCCTTTTTTGGGCCTGGTATCTAAGGGCATCGTTTTCACATGAGAAATAGAAGAATCACGATCCCCCCATGAGATCCGAATGGTCATCAAGGGAAGCAGGAGTAAAAAAAAAAGGTGATGGGCATTGGCTTTTCCCCGAAGAAGAGAGCTAGAAGTAGACAGTAGCCACTTTGTCATATTGAAGCCAAAAAAACAAAAACAAAAAACAAACCACGGCCCCCCAAATATATAATAATCCAACACACACACACACGCACACAGAGACACATATATATGTACACATTCATAAATATAAACTGCATGTTATTAATAATCCAATCATAATTTTGATGATTTCAGAAGTAGGGCCCTCCTTGAGATGACACATGATTCGCTAGCATTAGAACCCTTGTCTGTATCTTACTCTCTTATTATTCTCATTTTCCATTTACTGCATGTTATTATATATGTTTCTTTTATTTATTTTTGTTTTTTTTAGGAGGGGCTCAAAATCAAAATGTGACATCAAACGGCTTAATGAGGTCATGTGTTATTGATCTAGACAGTGTATCCTATTCCCCTCCATATGTAGTGTGACTACTTAACCCAAAAGGGCTGCTTCAATTGCACTTTCATTTTCGTTGAGAAAATGAGAACCAACGGCTTTAAATTACACTTTTCATTTACACTTTTAATTTTTGCTTCTAAAGATGCGTTATTATTGAATATAGTTATTAATAATATTACTGACCAAAGCTTATCTCTAGCATATGGATCTTGTACAATTACAAAGTTTGTCTAAGATTTCGTATTATTTTTCTTTTGATCATCCTATTATAAGGCAAGCTTATTGGAAAAGCAGCCATGTCTTCTAGGTAGTTTTGACCAATTATTCAATTTTCTTTCAAATACCATTCACAAATTACCAGACAAGGCCACGTGTGTAGGACCTCCATAACTCTCTGCTTCTCTTGCATTTCTTCCCTTTTGATTTTTATTATTATTATTTTTTTTAAAGAAGATTTTTGAATATACATCAATTCCCAAAATCCCCTCCACAATTTGTTATTTAATGGTTTTCCCCCTCAGCCACTCTTATCTGCTGCTACACTGAGGCACTTCCAAATTCAAACAGAAGACAGAGAGAGAGAGAGGAAGTGTTGAAACACCAATATGGTTCCTTAATTTGTTATTGTATGGCAGTTACTCTGTCTTTGTTTTCTTGCTTAACACATCTCCATTGCTATTGCTTTTGGCTATTGTTGTTGTTGCTATTATTTTTTTTTTGTGTTTGTTTTTTTGAAAAAATATTCAGCTCAACCCTTTAGAAGGGACGTCTATTATCATGTGGTAATTAATCAAAAGGTTTGAGTTCCAATTAAAGGAGGATGTCGTTGCCGAGCTATGATCCAAACGACAATGAAGCTGGTATTAAGCTTTTGGAGGAACTGACAACAAATGCAGACTTAGTACAACAACAGGTCTTGGAAGAGATACTCACCACAAACTCAGACACAGAGTATCTCAGTAGCTTTCTCAATGGCCACTCTGATAAGCAACTCTTCAAGACCAAACTCCCCATTGTTGATTACCAAGATATCCAGCCTTATATCGAACGAATCGCTCACGGTGACAAATCACACATCATTTCAGCCAAACCAATAACCGAGCTCCTCACCAGGTAACACAATCAGAGTATTGTTAATTGGATTTATTTGTTAATCATATGCATACATACATACATACATACATACGTATACTAATACACATGTACGCAGCTCGGGAACTTCAGGAGGGAAGCCGAAGATGATGCCTTCCACTGCAGAGGAGTTGGACAGAAAGACATTCTTCTACAATCTACTTGTGCCGGTCCTGAACAAGTGAGACGAGTCTACTTACATTACCGACACATAACAGTAATAAATACCAGTGTTTGTGTTTTGGGTAGACATTAATGAAACAGTCACGTAAATAGACATTTATGTGCAATAACGAAAAATAAAATGAAAATTCAGGTACGTGGAGGGGTTGGAGCATGGGAAAGGAATGTACTTGCTGTTTGTAAAACCGGAGATTCGGACGAGTTCGGGGCTAATGGCGAGACCGGTTCTAACAAGCTACTACAAGAGCAGCAACTTCCGAAAGCGGCCTTTCAACCGCTACAACGTCTTCACCAGCCCTGATGAGACCATACTCTGCCCCGACACCAAGCAGAGCATGTACTGCCAGTTGCTCTGCGGTTTAGTGCAGCGCCACGAGGTTTTGAGAGTCGGCGCGGTTTTCGCCTCTGCTTTGCTGCGCGCTATTAAGTTCTTAGAGGATTTCTGGAGAGACTTGTGTTCGGACATCAGATCAGGCCGTCTCAGCGACTGGATCGCCGATGGCGGTTGCAGGGAAGCACTATCTTGTGTTCTGAAGAAACCGAATCCAGAGCTGGCGGATGCGATTGAAAGAGAGTGCGGCGGCGGGGGGTCGTGGGAGGGGATAATTCGGAGAATGTGGCCGAGGACCAAGTTGGTAGAGGTCATCGTGACGGGGTCCATGGCTCAGTACATCTCAACTCTTGAATTCTATAGCGGAGGCCTGCCTTTGGTGTCCACAATGTATGCCTCTTCGGAATGCTACTTTGGCATCAATTTTAAGCCTCTGAGCAAGCCTTGTGACGTCTCCTACACTCTCATTCCCAACATGGCCTACTTTGAGTTCTTACCACTTCTCAATGACCGCGACCGCGACTACTGCAACGGCCAGGTTGTGAAATCCCAAGCAGTCGATCTCGTCGATGTGAAGCTCGGTCGCTATTACGAACTTGTGGTCACAACTTTCACCGGTGGCCTTGACTTCTTAATAACTTGTTACATATGAAATGAATCGTCTTTGTTCATTATTAGGATTGTGATGTGTTTAGTATAATTAATTTGGTGAAACTGCGTGCGTTTATGGTCAGGGTTGTACAGATTCAGAGTGGGAGACATTCTAATGGTGACGGGATTCCACAACAAGGCACCTCAGTTCCGATTCGTGCAGCGGAGAAACGTGGTGCTGAGCATCGACACCGACAAGACCAACGAAGAAGACCTCTTAAACGCCATGAACCGAGCCAAGCTGTTGCTTCACCCGCTGGGGCTGCTTCTGACCGACTACACCAGCTACGCCGACACCTCCTCAATCCCGGGCCATTACGTGCTGTTTTGGGAGCTAACTCATGACTCCTCCAAACCAAACCTCCTAGTACGTGATTCACTCGACAGTTGTTTGATGGAGGAATGTTGTTGGAGTGTGGAAGAGTCGTTGGACTCGGTGTACAGAAGGTGCAGGAGAAAGGACAAGTCCATCGGCCCCTTGGAGATCAGAGTTGTCCGCTGCGGTACCTTCGACGCGCTTATGGACTTGTGCGTGTCTCGGGGATCTTCACTCAACCAATACAAGACTCCGCGCTGTATTAAATCAGACGAAGCCCTTCACATTTTGGATTCAAGAGTTGTCGCCAGATTTTTCAGTCCAACAACTCCCTCCTGGGAGCCCACCCCTTTGGATTAATATGATCAATCAACCATTCGCCTTCATTCTATCATTTTCTTCATGTGACTCTCGTCATTAATTACCTAGTGTACTCTTATTCTGTGATGATTTATAAGTTTTGTTTAATTCCTGTAAATTTTTTTTTCAATTCAATAATATATGATTATGATATTTATGAAGCAATGTTCGTGCTATCTATGATGAATTAGTACTGGTGAGATGAGTTCTAAAACCCGAAAGTTTAAAGAGCCTCCCTATAATAAATATGAATATTGCTATATCTATAATATCCCTCCCCACAACTGCAAGAGGAGATTGATCATCATGTGCTTAATTATTTGGAACTAATAATAATGTCAGTTTGATGACTATCGCTCCAATCCATCTGGATTGTGGAGTGGAGAAATTATAACTATAAATATCGTCTTAATTTATGCAGATCAGAAAGTGATGAAGATATTGAATGCTCCTTTTTTTGTTTGTTTGTTTGTCATGGACAAATTAAACCTTGGGATGTTTTGTCATTCAATTCATCTTTTATCCATTATTAATTAGTACTAGTATTAGTTAACGCGATCGAATTTATAACATCAATCATATAATGTAATATACTATACATATATATATATATATATAATAGTAGAGTTAGGGATGAAAAGGCAGAGGCAAATTAAATGAGGCCACGACTAGTTATTTGGGAGGGAAATCATGAAATAATAATAATAAGAATAATAATAATAATAATAATAGTGTATATATGTGTGTGTATAATGTTATTTGGGAGGGAAATCATGAAATGATAATAATAAGCTAAGCAAAGCAAAGCAAAGCATGGGGATGGGGATGGGGGGACAATGAGAGCAACCGCCAACCCAAGGGCAAGGGGCCGGGCGGGACATAAATATTTAAGAAAATAAAAGCAAAAGGGGAGATGGATGAGTTAGAGAGCGAGCATGAGGGGCAAAGGCTTTTGGTATTTGTCTGGTCATGCAATGCATAATGCATTTATTAGAAACCATGTGGTCTTAACCACCACCAGCTTTACCCCATTATATATATATATATATATATTCATAATTCACAATATTTCAGGCCTCTAATTTCTCATTCTTATTCTCAATATTTCTCATTCTAATAAGCTACGTGCCTAAAGTAAGGCCCTCCTTCTATTATACTTCCCCTCCCCTCTGCCCTCTGGAGTCTGGTCATGTGGTGTGTCCTGTGTATGGATGCTGCATGCGCGTGTTTACACCCAATATTATATTATAATTCATATATATATGATGTGATCCACAAAACTCTCTCTATATATTATACACAGCAATGTTTAACTAGCTACCCTAGCTAGTGTGCTAATATATGTAGAGGATAACATATATTTATAGGAAATGTCTTTAGTCCGGTAGGTATAAAATGGCTGACTGATCCGGTTAGACAATTGTGACCGAGATTGGAATTAAACGGTGTAGATTTGTTTCTTTGTTTCTCCAAAACCTCTCACTTTCTCAAATGCACGCGCGAGCAGCATCATTCCCAAATCTTATTTTCTCTCGACCTCCCTCGACCTCCCTCGACCTTCCTCGAGCTCCTTCGACCTCCTCCGCAGCCAGATCGGCACCGACGAGTTCCGAGAGGCGGACCGCGTCCCGACAACTCCCTCAAGCAAACCCACTCCTATCTCCTCCTCCACCCTGACATTTCCTCTCTCCTGAAACACCACCACTTCATCCTCTGTCTCCATCGCCGCTTCCTCGAACGCCTCCGCAGGGGTGTTGCCGGAGGTGACTTCCGACAGGCCGACAAGGAGACCCGCCGCCTAACGACCACTCCCACAACCAAACCCACTAACATTTTCTCTCCCCTCAAACACCACCGGTTCATCTTCTCCGCCTAACACTTCGTCGATGGAGATACTCCCGAGGTAATCTTCCAAACATTTTAAATTGTACAGCATTTGTAAAAAAGAACTTAATTATACCTCGATTGTAGACTCGAATTATCTGGAAAATGGAAAAAATGGTTAAAAGGGGGCGTTTTGCAGAAAATTGTAGACTCGAATTATCTGGAAAATGGAAAATCGAATTATCTCCATTATCAAGTTACGCAGAAAATTGTAAATAGAGGGGACATTTTGGAAGATAGAAACACTATGGGTGGGTCGAATTTGTGGTTATTTGAAGCTAATTTTGATTCGTTGCTTCGATTTGGTAGTTATAGGGTTTGTACATGTGGTAAACAAAAAACCTATTGGGAAAGTGAAACGTCCCAATAGTAGAAAACTTATATAGATGCAGTACAAGTGGATTCATTTATTATTTTTCTGAATAACTATGAAACCGAAGATGTTTACAAAAAAGTATTAGTTGATTTAGTATTAGTTGATTTAGTTGAAAGAGTATTTTACAAAAAAGTGAAAACCGAAAATGCAAGTGGATTTATTTTTGATTTTGCTGAATAAGTATGTAGGCGTGGATGTTTGTGGATGCTACAAGCTAGTATAATTTATTCGAGTTGAAAGAGTTTTATACTAAAAGTGTGCTATGCGATATATCGTGTAAGTAGTATGAATAAAATTGTGTGATTATTGCTATTGTCATCTTGGTGTTTCTTGTGGGTTTTTAATTTTAATCTTTTGGAAAAATGTGTTGAGGACAGATGCATCCTGTGACATGGGAAGCATAAATTAAGCTATGGTGACTAAACGGGGTCGTAAAAGGCAGAGTGTGGATCATGTAGAAGAGGACAAAGAGCATTTGTCCACTTCGGTTTCTAACCAAAAATTAAATGTACGATGCTCCCCACTGTGGTTTGGTAAGATGTGTGCTCATTTTAGTGAGCGTAGAAGGGCGTTGGTTAAAGGAATGGGGTTTGGGGGGTTGTTGGAAATGGCTAGTGTGCACATATGTCACAAATTGATTATGTGGATGGTGGACAACTTTAAAGAGGAGGATTGCTCATTGACTATTTGCGGGAAGACGTTTGTCCTCACAACGGAGTTGTTTGGTGAAGTTATGGGGTTGTCTGATGGGGGGGACGACTTTGAGCAGCAAGGCACGGATGAGGAAGTGAATAATTGGAAGAAAGAAATAATGGATGGAAGGAGGCACCTACAGTTGTCTGATTTGGAGGATGACTTGTTAGATGATAAGCATCCTGATGACATATTTATTAGGAAGTTTTTACTGTTTGCTAGTGGAACTATCTTAATGCCAACAACAACTGTTGTGGTTGGAACAACCATACTTTCTTCCATAAA